AGAACAGGTCGGGGTGCTGGGGAATGTGTGGGTGCCTTCACATGAGGCTGAGACACACACACACCCCCCTTCGGGGGCCACTATAACCACAGTGGGATTTACTGTGTAAACCCAGGGCTCTGAACATGTCCTGGCATGTCACACAGCCCCGGGAGTGACAGGGCTGTTCTTTTCCTGTGCACACTGCTGGACAGCAGTGGCGACATGCCTGCAAATATTCATAGCTAACTAGGGGGGTCTGCGCTCCTGCTGCTGGTTTGGGTTTTGTTTTTTTCCAGCCACAGCAAGGAAAACTCATACTGTGGCACCACGGTGGCTGTGCAGGGACAGGCCTCTGCAGCAGGATCGTGGCACTGTTGATGGGTGCAGGAGCCAGAGACAGGTCTGGGTGCTGGGGAGTGTGTGGGTGCCTTCACATGAGGCTGAGACACACACATACCCCCCTTCCGGGGCCACTATAACCACAGTGGGTTTTACTGTGGGATTTACTGTGTTCTGGCCAGGGCCAGAAAGTGGAGAAAGCAGCAATGGCTGCCCTCTGCATGCTGAAGCCCCACATCTGGGCAGCATCTGCCAGCGGCTACCTGGTGCCAGGAGACCCCCCCTCCAGCTTGTTCCCGAGCAAGGGCCACCGCAAGAAGGGACAGCGATCTCTGCCGCTGCCCAGTGTGGCACAGCAGCAGCAGCGAGTTTATTTAGTGTTAAAGGGAGCAGCACCAACAACAGAAAAAGCCACTGTACACAGAAAAGGGACTGAAGGCTTGTTTGGTGGCTCATGGTACTGGCAGCAGCCGGGCCATCCTCCAGCAGTGTGCCACACTAAAGAAAGAGCAGTCCTGCATGGAGTGTCAGTTGTTCCTGGAGGATGCACAACCATGCTGAAAACAACATGGGAATCAGAGGTGTGCAAAGACTGGCCAACGGCGATCCATGCTCCCTGGTCAGACTCGCGCTCCTGGTAACCTGCTCTTGGACAGGTATTAAGCCCAAGGAGCTGCACAGACACTGTGACAGACAGCCCTGGAAAGGAGACACTGCATATTTGTTGCGGTGACACCAAAAGAAATTAGGCGCTCTGCAAGGACACAGAGCAACTGCTGGAACCATTAGTGTGGGCTGGTGCTCAGGCACATGTGTGTTGGTGAGAGCACCTGCCCAGGTGTGTGGTAGGGCAGCTCCATCTCACATACTCCCTACCCCAGCCTGGTGCCTGGCTGTGGAAGGCACGGTGCTGCTGGCTGTCAGAACCCAGCGCCTGTGACGGCCAGGAGGGTCACACAGCCACTGGAAGGGAGCCACAAATCAAGTGGGGAGGAGTGCTCAGTCCAGGCTAAGCATCCCAGAGGTAAAGCCATCTGGTGGTGAGTTTACCGTTCTGGGAGGATGATCTTCAGGGGTGAGTTGCAATTTCAGAAGTCAACAATTAGCACCAATTAGCTTCTTCCCCCAGCCCCATCTGAGAACCAGATGAGAGGTAAGCCAGCCTGGCCTGAGTCTTTTGGTGTTTCAACTTAAATATGGGAGCAGACTTTAGTAAGAAATCACTTTTGCTTTTCTGAAGAGTCACCCCATATCCTGCAATTGGCATTAGCAGCATCAACCCCCCCAGCTGCTTTTCTCGCCTGTGATACTGCCAGGGTGAGCTTTATTCACGACATTTTGGTATCAACCACCTGGCTAATTCTTAATTCACTGTACAAGGGAGACAACTAGGCTATCCAACACTGCTGAGACATCTCAAGTGACAAACAACTCAAAGGTAACAGGACTGGGAAGTAATACAGAAATGTGACCTAGCTTTGAGTCTCCTGCCTTTTAGTTGCTCACAATGGAGGTGTCAAAAAAATAGCGGCTGGGAAAATTAAGACATCCTATTTACAAGTTCATATGCGCTTAAAGTACATAATTGAGCTTCATTCCTCTGATAATGCATGTTGTGCACTCGCAGAGAGAATGTGGCTTGAATGGTCATCAAAAAAATCTTTAAAGGTTTTTTTTTTCCCCTTAAAAAAAATAAGTTATTTTAGACCTGACAAATCACTTGCCAAAGGGAACCAGCTGTTAAACAGAAGCAGTTACTCAGTTATACAAGGGCAAAGAAAGCATCAGTCAATGAGCTTTAGAGGCTCGTATAACAAAGGAGACAATTTTAAAAGCTTTAAGAAACTCACTCTCCGGCTAACTGTTCTTTGCCAGCTTTCAGCGTGCAGCAGCCCAAGTTTAAAGCTCTGGGGTTTCTAACCGCACCCAGCCGGCCGATGACAGGACAGGACATGACACCCTACAGCTCACCTGCGTGCAAGCTTCTGCCAAGCAGTGGTGGATGTGAGCTCTGCTGCAGACTCGCTGCGGTACCTCAGCGGCTAGGTTGGCAGCACGGAACCAGCACATTGGAAGAAGGCAACGTGGGGCAGGGGCCGGGGCTCCCCTCCCTCTCCAGGGCTGCATGGACTTCCATGCCACCATTCCTCCCCGTAATACCCTTGGCTGGCAAGCACCGCAGGCTGGCGATGCGGTTTGTAATGCTCAGTGAATTAATTCCTCCCCCCATCCTCTGCTCCCCAAGGCTCACTGCTCTGTGTCTGCATCCAACCACAGGCATCTCAGGACCAATGCAACCGGCTCCTACCTGCACGGGGTGGAAGTGCAGGGGTCAAGTCCCCCTCCAGCCGCTTGGGTCCAGACCTGGAGCTCAGGTTGAGATCGCACTGCACTGGGGGAGGAGGCAGCCCTAGTCCTGCACCCCCTCTACCCAGGGCCCAGCGAAATGCCAGCAGAGCCGAACCGCAGTCCTCAGAGGAGAAAGGTGAGAGCCGAGTGTGGGTTTTCTTGCTGGGATCTCTGTGTGCGGACGGAATTGGCAAGAGTTTCATTTCCCCATGACACTGGGGTGAGGGGGCAGGGACAGGGCATCTGAAGAAGTTCAGTCCATCACAGGACAAAAAACAGGATGAGCACCACCAGCAAAATAACGAAGAGGATAATAATTGCACACCACTGCCGTCGATCTGGAAGGAAAAGGACGTGTCAGTCTTCCTGCTTTAACAGGGAAGGAAAACTGGAGGAGAGCTTTTCTTTGCTGTACTGCTAGGAGCCCAGTTTAAAGAAGCCTGAAAAAACCAAAGCAGCAGCTCCTTTCACCATGAGGCAACGGTATTTCTCCTCCAGATACACCTGTGGGAATTTTGAGGCTTCTCCCTAGCCTTCAAACAGATTTGATAAGACGGTTCAAAAACAATCAGGAAGAATAAGCAGAGAGCTGCTGTGTGTTGCTGCTCATTCATGAAATAACTTGTCTGTTGGGGGAACAAGAAGGGGATCTGGTGAAAGCTGCCCAAAAGACCTCTGCCAGGAAGAGGCTATGGCAGTTCCCTGGAGGAGAGTGCCAGGAATGGTTTCTCCTGGACATCTTTACACCTTGCTGGCCTTGTGCATGCTCTGCAGAAGCTCAACGCTGTATTGCCTCCAAGAGCTACCCTATGGCCACATCTGCATGGCAGAGAGAAAGCCCCTGTGCTGCAGCAGTGGGGACAGGGCTGCTGGCAGCCCCCAACTTCAGGGCACAGGAGGAGCCCTCCTGGTCAGTCCCAGCATGTGTAATACCAGGGACAGCAGAAATGCTCATTCACAACTCTCAGAAACACTCTGCAATGCCAAAGCATTTTTCCCAGAGGAAAGGGGAGATATGCAAGGTTTGCCAGCGGTCAGGCTGCCACTGGGCTTACTGGTTATCCAAGGTGCACTGTCAGGACTCCAAATGGTCTCTAGGGCTGTATTTCCACAGCCTCATAAATCCCCTGTCCAGCCTAATCCTGCAGAGCAGGAACACTTCTCCCAACTTGCTGCTGCTCCACTACCCTAGCACCCATGGGAGAGGGGTGATGGAGGAGGCAGACACAGGCCAGCACTTGGAGCAGTGACGGGGGACTTCCCGGCAGGCACACCGGGCTTCCTGTTTGCTCTGCCCGCGGCACCCTGCCAGCCCACTAGCTTCAGGCGCAGCCTTATAAGGACTTTTCTTGTGGGTTCAGCTTCCCCCAGTTCAGAAGTCGCCTCTTTCCTCCATCAGCTGAGAGATCTATCTGACTGACAACAGGCCTGCAGCCGGCAGGCGCCAGCAGCCTGGGGGCAGGTGGGATCTGGGAAGGGGATTGCTGCAGGCGTTTGATGCGGGGGAAGCCACACACAGTGGTGAGTGTTTTATGGCACCTTGAAAGCTTTTGTTCCACAGGCAGCCTGGGAAACTGCAGCAGAGCAGGAGGCTGCATAGCTTCCCCTCCAACCATCTAGAGGGGATTTTCCCACTGCAGTGGTAGCAGCATAAATAGAAAGGCATCTGTAAATAAAACAAAAGCAAAGGACAGGCTGCAGAGCAGTGTCTGGGGCGGGTGGTGAGTGTTTTATGGCACCTTGAAAGCTTTTGTTCCACAGGCAGCCTGGGAAACTGCAGCAGAGCAGGAGGCTGCATAGCTTCCCCTCCAACCATCTAGAGGGGATTTTCCCACTGCAGTGGTAGCAGCATAAATAGAAAGGCATCTGTAAATAAAACAAAAGCAAAGGACAGGCTGCAGAGCAGTGTCTGGGGCGGGGGCGCCGGACGGGCTTGAAAGCCTCAAGCAGCGAGAGCTGCTCCCTCCCCTCTGCTCAGCTCTGGGATGGCTGTCGGTGGGTGGGAGCACAGCGTCCCACCAAAGATCTGAGAACTTGTCTCTCCCTTCCCAGGACTGGATCCCACTTCCCAGGACCTACCACTTGTCATGTGAGACACTTTGGCGAGCTTCTTCATGACATTGTCAAGCCGCGACTGAGTGCTGTCTAACTCGTGGGAGAAGTCATCCAGCATCCTAGGGACAGAGAAGCACAGCATTCGTCAGCAAGTGGCACATCCCATTGGGATTTCTCAGTGTGCTTATACACTGACCAAAACTCTTGATGTGATCAGTGCACCACACATTGGCAGAGAAAATGAACGTAGGCTGGTCTCCTGAAAGCACCCAAAAGGTGGAAAAAATCTGCTGCAGCAGCAGCTCTGCTGCTGAGTGGGAAGTCATTTGGGACTCTTGTCAGACTGGTTGCCCCTGCATGCTCATATCTGAGCTCTATGCACCCCTGCAAGGTGAGGAACGGGGTTTTTCCTAACCCTTTAAGAGGGAAGTCTCATTTATAATCTGTGGCTAGCAGAGACCAGTTTGACAGATCTAGGTACAGCTTGGACTTGAAATCTCTTTTCTTGTTTGGAGCTTGTAGTTAAAGCAAAAATCTTGTTCTAGTCATGTATCAAGCAGG